GATGAGACGATACTCGGCGCACTGGAATGGTTTGCTGTCGAATTGTTCGACGGGGGCTCCGAAGAGCAGCAGTAGATGCCAACATGGATATCATCGACGGGAGAGATACAGAGAGAGGTGATGAGGAGCAGTTGGCGTCGAGAAACACGACAGTGCGTGAGAAGGCACCCCCAGCATTAGTTCACCGTCTACTTGTAGCCATCGCATGGCCTTCTAAAGTTTCGAATTGGCGCCCACTGCCCCCGAGCAGTTAAATAACGGACTTCATTTAACGTCCTTCAGAACGCACATCTTCGGCACTGAGCTCACTGATGAGAGAGGAAACGCCTCCAATTCAGGAGAAATTCTCACTCTACAGCGCAATACTGACGTATTACTGGCAAAATCACTATATTACAGCAGAACTAAAGGTTTCACTTGTTACCTGTGCCACTTATCTCTCAGCACCTCTGTGCGCTCCAACGAACCTGTTTCTAGGCATGAAGGCCCAGACTATCACCTCTGCGAGTGCACTAAAAGAGGGCCAACTTCGGTGAAGCCGTGGTGACCCCCATTAGAGGGGTCATCAAAAACAGCCTCAGCTCTTATCCTTCACTCCAACCTCCATTTCTGCGCAACGGAGGAGACCACGTTCAAAATAACCGCAAGCACTCGCAGTAAAATCTACCCAAAAGGATTAAATCTCGACCTTACATCGCAGCCATAATCTGAACTCTCGATACCTCCCTAACTACATCCAAGGTGGAGGATCAGACAGCATTGGAATAACTACGAAGAGACAAAGACAAGGGACCTCGACATATAACTCTGGAAAGCTACTTTGCATTGCTTCAATTTTACTCTTAAGTAACTAAACCCACATTAAGTGACCGACAAACAAAATCTACTTCTTGACGAATGTCCTCCCACCTTAACGATAAGTGAATAATATTTCAGTTGCCAGTGCCAGATGGCCTCCACCATGTCACTCATGCTGATTTTATGAAAATGATCTTGGGACAAAATGTTACTGCCAAAAAAGGTAAACCGGGCATTGCAGTAGGACGGTGAAGAAGGATGCGTACCTGGTATGCAGATCTTTTCACGGTAATCCAACTGTGAATACAAAACTAATTATCCAAAATATTCGGTCAAGAGAGTTGAGGCAGGATACAAACACAGTTTATTTGGGTTTTTACATAAACCTCAATTGGATTGTGGACGATCAACAAAATTCC